CTTTCCAGGGAAAAAAAAGATGTTTGGGCTTCTGTGAGTCAAAGTCTGTTTGGTCTTCTCTCCTGAGTAACACTACAGAGCACATACTGTAGGAATGCTTGCATGTCTTTGTGTCCTGTGCTACCTTGGCATCTCTGCATCAGCACAAAGAACAGATTTTTCACCCTATGGGAACTAGTATCCTGGCATTAGGCTGAGTTAAAATGCTCTTGGGAATAGGTTTAGCTGCAGTCATTTGAGACTGGTGACTGAAAAGAAGGGGGAAAAAAGAAATCGAATAGGGATCTCGATAAATAGAATTTCAGATCTTGCATAATACCATTCAATGGCAACAGCAGGTGTTTGACAGTACTGTGAACTTCCTCAGAATGGGATCCTGCCAGCATGGCTGTGATTCAGTGCAATGATTCAATGACTGCAGGACGGTATCCTGCCAACCAGCCTTCCAGCAGAAAACTGTTCACCCCACTGCAAACACTGCCAGTCCATTAGCATTTCAGATTTAGTCTATCTGCACGTCAGCAGAAGGAGTGTATCCCCTTCAGGTAATGGGAGGAGGAAAGGAGGGACAAAAATTCCCTTTTCTACCAGGGAATGAAAGGCAAAATCATTAGCTGCAACGTTCTCTCTGAGGAGGAGTATGGGATATATTTTTTTTAAAGCTCAGAGTTGAAAAAAAAAGTCTTCCTTTTATTCTTCAGCCCTGCTTTTCTTTCCACCTCCAACCAGGAGCTTGTCAAGAGGTTCTCATCAGTTTTCACTTCTACCTTCTAAACTGTGCAGAAATACTACCAACATCCTGAGATAAGCAAAGAAACTCAAGGAGTTGTCTTTAGCAGTCCATGTTACAGATATTTTTTCAGCTCCTATCCTGCAACACCTGTGCCCTCTCCAGTGCCCACAGACCAAGCCTCCTGTGCTCCTGCAGCACAGATGTGCAAGTATAAACCCATATCAGGAATATTCCCAAATGCATGGCTCTTGGGTACATTTGACATGGGTACAGAAGAGGACAAGACTCACTCAGCTGTCACTCTCCAGCCATGCAACCCACTAGCCTGGGGCTGAGTTATGTGAGATGAAACCTCCTTCAAGTAAACACATGGTTAGGGTGCAACAAGGTGGGAGAAAATGCAATTTAGCTCAGCTCTTCTCTTGCTCCATTTTTCCATTGTGTAGCAGAAGGAAAAGAGAGAGTGGAGCTGAGTGAAGCACAGTGCTGCTACTATAATCTTTGTTGCAGCACAATGTTCTCATCCTTTCCCAGCTCTTTTAAACCTGCTGTAATATGAATAATGATACATTCCGCTTACGGAGACTTTGTTAAATACATTGCCTTTATCACAGGTGCTGCGCAAACTTCTAGGATCAAAAAGGACTCTTTGAGAGGTGATTAGTGCAGGAGGGAAGGGGTTAGTTGTCTAAGCACCACATTTGCAATAATTAGGCTCCCTGGAGTGATAGGTTCAAATCCTAGCAGGGTTGACTCAACCCTTCATCCCTCTAAGGTAGATTAAATGGGTTTTCTGTAGTAGGGTCTTTTGGACAAGACCTTAAAAAGCACATGAGTTTTCTCCTTTTATTGCCAGGATGAATTTTACAGATTTATAAACCAGATATGCAAGATATTTCACATAAATCTAGCTGTCTGCCCAAGCACTATTTGCCAAAACCTGTTTTCATTGTTGCAATGACCATGCAGGTCTCTTACTCACCAGCCTCCTTCCCAAAGGGGCTCTTTTGTGGTGAAACATGTAGTGTAGTGAGGGACATAGTTTGGGATTAGGCAATGCAGTTTGAATGTATCCTGTGACTAAACACAACCATCAGCCTCTAGTTTTTAGATTACTCTTTAAAAATTATTATTTTTTACTATATAGTGCTATTCTCTCACTTGAGGGTGACTGACTCAGTCACGGGTCAAAACAGAACACGGGCTTTTGTAGCACCATAGGCTGAAGGAGAGTTGATTCTGTTTTGTTTTAAAAAAAATAGAAAAAAAAATTATTTTGTTAGATGATTCCTGTTACAGGGGGGAGGAGGGTAGGCATGACTTTCCTCATGCTTTTTTGGTCTTCCTAGGAAGCTAAGGTCATTGTCACTGGGAGCAGTTCAAGAGAAATGCTCAGAGCAAGTCTTTGGGAGTGCCCTTCAGAGAAGAGAAAATAAAATGAATTATAGAATAATTTAAGCTGGAAAAGATCTTTAAGATCTTTGAGCCCAACCATTAACATAGCACTGCCAAGTTCACCAGTAAACTATATCCCTAAGTTTTAGGTGGGTTTTGTTCCTTCTTATTTTATCCCTGCACAACGTCGTGACATCCTTGTAGTCCTCCTAAGTTGCTGCCTCTTCTTTCAAAGGTAATTTTTTTCCTTAGTTCCAGCCAAAGCTCTTTGCTCAGCCAGGCTGGACTTCCCCACCAGCTCATCTTTTGGCACACAGGGATGGTCTGCTCCTGCACCTCTGAGATTTCCTCCTTGAAGAATGTCCAACTTTTCTGGACTCCTTTGCCCTCAGGACAGCTTTCCAGGGGACTTTCTCAAACAGGCTCCTAAACAGGCCAACATCTGCCCCCCAGAAAATCCAAGTTAACAGTTCTACTGATTCTTCTTCTTACTTCTCCAGCAGTCAAAACCTGTATCATTTCATGGTCACCTTCCCTAGTTGGCTCACTCACCAGTTGTGTCAGGAACCTTCTAGACTGTTTCCTCTGTGCAGTATTATATTTCCAGTAGACATCTGATAAGCTGAAGTCCCCTGTGAGAACAAGGCCCAGCAATTGTGAGACTTCTGCTAGAATTTTTCATCTGCCTCTTCATAATAATTTCTCAGGGTCATGCCAGGACTGGAGCTGCTCACCTTGGTGACTGAAGAAAAGGCAATTTCAACCTTATGTCCTAGGCCTTTCCTTAGTGCAGACAGAGTCACATAACCAAAGATGATGATTGTGAAGAGAGGGATTGTGAAAGAAACACAAAGGAAACTTTCTTTTAGCAGGGAGCATGGGTAGGGGAGAAGGCAGGGGGGGCAAGGTGCAGAAAAATAAATAAAACAGAGGTTTCCAGGACTATGGACAGAGCTGCAGGTATCTGAGGGAAGAACTGGCTGAGGAAAGAAAATTATGTGGGACAACACAGAAAACAACCATGCAAAAGTGGAAAAAAGGTAAGGGAGAGGAACTGACAGGGACCAAAGACAGAGAAAGGACTAGAAAAAAGTGTTGCAGTTATTCCTCTTTGATTTTGTTTTCCTAATGGTAAAGGAGTGCAGTGGAGATGCAGGCTGTGCTTGGTGATGATCTTCCCCTGAGGTCCTGTCCTCCTGCATTTCTCCATGGCCTGGAGACACAGGGACTCTAGACCAGGCTGGCACTTCATTTGTCCAACCTGAGTGTTCTGTACATAATTCTTCTCCAACAAAGAAAACTGACTTCCCATGCAGTCAATACGGGGGAAAAAGGAGGAGAGAGATGTAAGTATGACTGAATAGCAGTTGAGTACAGCTAGCTAATTGCAGCTTCATGCAATCGCTTTCATAGTCGTTATCATAACTGTATATATTTCCAGCTCAATTCGTCTATCTTTTCCGGCCTCCTGTCTTTGCAGCTGCCTCCTCTTCTCTCCTTCCTGATGGCTGCAAATCTCTGCTTATCACCCACTTTCATGCTGTGTTTTGTCTGCCTTTTTTGTGTTCATCCCTATACCAGCTTCTTGGCTGCATGTGGCATTATCTTATTTCCTGGATGTTTTGAGAGACTTTAGTATGAACTACTCGCTTCAGTTAACATGTATGACCTTTTGCCTTATTTTGTTTTTCTGGATGATTTAATTTTACACATGTTTACACTAAGGACTAGTTCTGCAAACTGAAGTGGTCAACATGGACATGCAATTGCTATGTGAGGCAGTAAGAATTAAGACAATTATTTATTTATCAAATTTCTTTTTGTATGAATGTATCCATCCACTGCATTAATTTTTCATGGAAGCTCATTTTGAAAAAAACATCCTCTCCTCCCGGGAAGGATTTGAACTCTTTAGGGAATTCTCCCAAATTCTCGTGTTTTTTTCTTTAATTGAACCCCACCGTGTAAGAAGAGCTCCGTCCACAATATTGATTGCAGAAAAACATGCAGACCTGTCAATCTCCCTTTTCCCAAGGCAAAACTCTCCTATTGTCTTTTTCTGCCGGGGTATAATCTCCTCAAAGACAGACTTCAAACAGTTAAGCTTTTTCCCATTGTATTGGGACTACACGTAATGCTCCACTTTACATTAACATTTAACAGGTTTCAAGCTTCAGTGATAAACTAAAAATGTTTTTCCTTCATGACAACTGCTTGACAGTTTTCAAAAATGGATAAAAAATGGAAAATTATCCTACAGAGGAAACATCCCCTTCTCTTCATAATTCAGGCTGAGACATGGCATGAACGGAATAACACATTTATTACATTCTGGGCACTGAACATAAAATGCATTGCCTCCCTCTATTCTGCTTGATTTGATAATCTAGTACAATTTAGGTCCCTAATAAATTAAATTGTTCGGAAACTTGGTTCACTGCCTAAGCTCTGTGCAAGGCTGTGCTGTTTAATGATGCCTTTCTTTCTTTCGGTGTTTTATCTTTGGGATAAATAATTCAGCCTAATAAACCCTGTGATCTGCTAGGTTAATTGACACCCACAGTAATTCCCAGCTTGTGCACAGCACCCATATTGGTCTTTCACAGGGTCCCATAGCACTACCTAATCTGTGCAGCTCACCAGTCAGGTTCCCTGCATTGCCATAAGCCCTACTCATTGCAAACATCACTTCTGCTCCTGAATAGGCAAGCTTGTTCGCTTTCCCCCAAGTGGTAACGCCTCTTGTTGATTTCCAAGAAAATCCTAGGGCAACTGGGACTAGACTGACATTAAAAAAAAAAAAAAAAAAAAAAAAAAAAAAGCGAAATGAAGGAAATATTGTAAAGATCCACAAATATATTATCTGGGGGATTTATTCACAGGTGATGTGTCCAGTTGTGTGGCGGGATGAATACATTCTTATTAATTATTAAATCGCTCAGATGGTCCTCCTCCCCAAACCTGACATTTACTGAAAAAAAGTAATTGAAAAGGATTTGGCCAGTTCCACTCCCTGTGTTCAAACGTTATATAACAGACAACTCCACCTCTCTGCTCCCTCTCTCTCTGTCTCTGCTTTCAGGCTAACACACAGTTTATTGGGTATCAATAAAACATAAGAATTACTGCTGGTATAACAATAGCACCTCTTTGCAACCTTCAGCCTGCTTAGCTCCCAGGAATAGCGTGCTAATGAGGGTGTGCAGTGTTTTGGACAGATGCTAGAGCGTTATGCTGGGCTGATAACTGCATCTCTTGGATCAAACACTGTGCTGGGATGACTCATGCCTTTTACTAATTTATAAGAGCAGTCTTCCTTGAAATCCCAATGTAAATACTAGTGCCCTGTTCTCTGTGAGTGACTACAGCCTTGAAGTCAACAAAAGTAATGGGCACTCTGCGTGGTGTAACTAGTCACCAACGTATTCCTTTTTATCCCCTGGATGATATATTTGAATTTTGCGTTGTTTTGCCTTGGTTTAAATTTTTACTCTTTTTTTCCCAGGGGCTGTATGAACACAAGGACCACATAGCCCGAAGAGGAGCAAGGACAGTGGACAAGAGCAACACAAAAAGGCTGAGCCTTAGTTTTGAAAAGAGGGAGGCTGGAGCTGTATTGCAAGCCAGATGGTTTGGATGCACATAATTCCCTAACTTAAAATCAGGGTTCATTTACTGCATGTGTTTCCTTTACAGGATGGTCACTAAACAGGATGGTATCCTGTTCACACCTGTCAGGAGTGAGAAATGAGGATTTAAAAAATCAGACTCAGTACATTTCCTTTTCCATTTTGACTGAAGAGATATTTACAAGTTTTTCTATCTTCCTGGCTTGTATTGTTTTTTATATCCCTGTAATTATTCTGTGCAAACAAGGTGTTCGTGCACTGGCATGACTAGATAAAAATACTAGATACCCCATTGTACTTGCTAAAGACATTGGGCAAACCTGAGAGTGAAGACATGGTTTACATCTTCCCTTACTGCCAAACAGTGGTTTAGCTGAGCATAAAAGAAGATTCCCAAAGTGCCTGAGCAAAGCCATTTTCACAGCCGGTTTCAAGCACCTTTGCTTTTAGGTCAATGAGCATTGCTATCCACAGTGTGACATCCTCATCCAAGCCCAGAGTCCTGCAGGACAGGATGGGATAACTCACCGGTCATGGCCCTCTCACTGATTCTAAAGGGAAGGTAAATGATGAGCTCAGACCACACATCAGATCTTCAGGTACCTAGAAATAGATGAGAGGACCCCCTGAACTGGAACAGAACCAGTTGCTTTGTCAGCAGTGAGCTATCAGCAAGGTACTGATGTGAAGCTGAGATGTAAAATCCTAAAGTCCCACATCCCATTGCTATCATTAATATCACAAACTGTGAGAAATCTGTATGTGCTGACAGTGATTTTTCAAGGTAAGTAGGAATCTCTTTTCCCCCATGTCTTGTAACACAGCCATTTTAGGCAGATCCCTTTCCCTCAGTTACTCCAGACACCTCTTTGACCACAAGCTTGCCACCAAGGAGGGTCCACTCTTCCACAACCTGTGATAAGTGCTTTTGTAGGCTACTTCAGGGTTCAGCTTGATTTTAATTCTCTCTCTCTTTTTTTTTTTTTTCTCATCATGTCCTGAGATGAAGTGGGGCTGGCACCAACTTCAGATATCAAACTGTTAAAGAACTGAAGTAGGTTGAGAAGGATTGACCCATGGCAAAGGGAAGAAGAATGAAACCGGGACCCAAAGCATTGACACCTCCCGCTACTCGAAAGCATCTCTGCTGGGTTTGCATCTATTCTGAAAACTAGCCATGTGCTGGAGGACACTTCTCCAGGAACCAGCTGGTCCTCACAGGCCACCTATCCCAGCACGTGCTCAGCAATTTAAGGCAGAAACTCTACCCTGCTAATGTCTCTAGGCTGAATAGCTTCCTTCTCATGGTGTGAGTGCAGCCTTGCTCTATGGTACATCACAGATACTCAGATGAAACTGTCTGCAGTCTGTTGACAGATATGGTACTTCTAGTCTATACATGGAATGTGTGATTTGCACAAGAAATAGAAGCAGTAGTTCCCTGTGTACAAAACCCCACCCAATTTACAAGTATTGTCATGACCAAAATCACAGTTAGATTATTATTGGGGAAATAATATTATGATTCTGTCTCTAGAAAGTGTTGCTGAAGTTTCGACTTTGGGAAACCCTTTCTGCCACATTTGATTACAAATGACTGTCACATGCTTACCACCCTTACTGCTCCTTCTCTCCAAAAATTCCCAACAATCAAACCTCAGCAAAGAAGTGGCCTGCTCAAACAGCATTTTGAAACAGTGCCTGAAGGTTTCACTAATCCTGTTGAACTTATGTGGATGGTGCTCTGGTGTTTGAGGGGAACCACATGCTGTGTGAAAGTGCCCCAGGGCAGACCAAGGTAATGGGCAGATGTGCATAGTCTTGTGTTACATATCTATCTAGATGACATGTTTGTATGTCAAAGCTGCCATGACTTCTGAAAATCAGTATATTATTCCCTTTGAAAGTGCATTTGCCTGTCGTCATGATGTACATACTGATCAAGATTTCAAAGTCACCAGAGGTCTCACAATTCCCACTTATGATGAATGGGATGAGTCTGAATCCACACTGAAAAAACTGAACTATTTGTCCCTAGTTTTTGGACTTTTGCGCATAATTTTCCCTTAAGGTGATATGGACTTGTAAATGCTCAGCTTTCACAAAAAACAGTGTCTGAACAACCTGGTAAAATGAGAGTCTGTACTGCAATGGGGGAGAAAGGAACGTAGGAGAGGACCAGAGCTGCTGCGCTGGAGCATATACTGTGATGCATGCACTTGCTTGGGGCTTGATTTAAAAAGAAATCTGTTCCCAAAGAAAACAATGAGATTTTTACGTTTTGACTGACTGAAGCCTTGATGCTGTTCCACAGCATGAGAGCAGCATCCTTCCTTAGAAAGACATCAGCAGTCCCAAGTGGCTATTTCTGCTTTTGTAGTGAGAGAGAAAATGGCAAGTGAGAGAAAGAGAAAATGAAATGCCTCTGACAAGAAAACAATGTGCCAGAAGCAACTCCTTCAAATACAGAAAAGTAAGAGGACAGAACTCCATCCATTCTCAAGCTTTTTTGTATTTATTGTTTTGTGGGGGTTTATTCTTACCACTAGTATTTTACCTTGTATTTATTTTTTTTTCTCTTGAAATATTGTGCTTTACAGTAAGAAATCATAGCACTGTAGAGGTTAGAGATGCGAGAAGCCTATTAGATCATCTGCTCCACCGATCTTTGCCAGCAGAGAATTGCTCCCTGTGGTATACTTTCTAGTGTTTTGTCCAGCCTTGTTGTAAAAATCCTGAGTGACCAGGCTTCCACCAGATCCCCCAGCAGCTTTTCTGCTGCTGGATATGTCTTGAAAGATTTTCCTGTTAGTCCGCCTGTGGTTTCATGTTGCTAATTTCACCCCATTTGGCACTTCTGTATCTATGTAGGAGTCTAAATTGTTACCCTCCCTTTGGCATTCATGTTTTCTGACTATGCCTGCTTAGCATGGAGTCACAGGAAAACAGGGCTGAAAGGACCTTTGCTGTTCATACACACAGAGCTTTTAAATCTGCTTTGTAAGACTGTCTGTCTAGATTCCTGATATTTTTTATTTTTTCCACCCTCCTTGTTCCCATTTGTCCATGCACAGCAACTCCCCCAACTGAGTGTATTATTCCAGATACATCTGCATCAAAATGATGCAGAAAATAGATCTCTATTGCCTTTGATTCAAATATCAAGGGAGGGAACTACACCCTAAAATTGCATCAGCATTTTTGCAGCCAAACTGCAATATGCACTTATGTTCAATTGGCCACCCACTCTCACTGTAAAGTGTTTCAGTATTCCTGCTAGCAATTTGCCATTGACTACAAGTGTTTTGGAGGATTTTGCCTCAGGTATGTTTTCATACTTACAAGTCGAAACTCATCTTGTTATTTTTCTCTTGTAATGTCCCCAGACTCACTAGGTCACTCACGTTATTTCCATGTTCTGAGTTACCTTTCAGTTCCTCCCAAGCCAGGGTCATCTGTGAGAGCCCTTTGTGTGCAGCTCATATTCCCTATACATTATTAATAAGGACATTAAATCACAATGTTTCTAACAATTTATTTTTTTTTACTAGATAACTCTGTTGTGTTGCCTAGTACTTTCTCTCTTCCCTATGCATCTTCTGCTATCCAGTTCAGATTCTCCTTTCTCATGGGACCACGATGTTGCCCTTTGCACCCATTTTTTATTTTCCTCATTATGTTTTTTTTCCGAGGATTTTTTTTGGTTGTCTTTCATGTTTTCTGGGCGTATTATTTACAGCTGTATTTTAGTAAGATAGAATTAGAAACAGTGTTCTGGATCACTGAATCTAGATCTCTATTATTTCAGAGAGCTATGCCATGAAATTCCTTTAAAATATTAATTGAGTTCCAGTTTGATGAAGCTGTAAAATGAATTAAGTTTTCTGTTCCTGCTTTTTCTACAAGAAGGCCATTCTCAAGCTATCTTGCTTGAACAGTTAAAAATCCTTCTTCGTAATTCCATACTAAATTTGCGCATGACCAGTTTTTATCACTTTTCCAGGTGCCAACTATAGCTATGGTTGACTGAGTCCACCCAGCTCTTTCTTCTCTGTCATTTCTAATTAGCAAACTTCAATTCACAGCTGTTTTTTTAAGTGGATAAACTCACATTGTGTGCTATCACACCTCTTCCTGTTTCTGTTCTCCTAGCCCATGAGTTAACACAGCCCTTCAGTTAACCCACTCTTTTGGAAAGCTGAACCTGATCCTCATTCCTAGGGTGATGTGTCCTAACTTCTCAGATCATTGCAGAAATATATTTTGAGCAACTTAAAATGAATCTTCAAAAAGTTTTTGTGGAGAAATTTGAAGCATAAGGGTTTCATGCCTAACCATAGTGATAATTTACATGAAGACCTTGAAAATTTACATTAATCAGGATTTCTTTTCTCTGCACAGATTCAATCTTAACACAAAAATGCTCAAAAATCCAACACAGCTCATAGATAGTCCTGGGTCCTGGGTCCATTTCCTAGTGAAAACTCGAATATCTAGACAATAATATTGAAGATTTTTCTGTCTGTCTGTCTAGGCAGATGCAGTTTTCTGCCCTAGGATTTGTATAGATTATGCATCCACACACCCCATGCTGCAGGTGGTTCTCTGCAGAGTGGAATGTTATATTTCCTAAGATGAGCTGTCAACATATTTATTTGTAATAGCCTCAATCACAAGCACAGAAAGAAGAACGAGTAAAACTTGTCTGATGTCAGGAGTACGTGTTCTACAGTCTAATTCCAGGCTGTGATTCCAACTCCCTCTTTTGCAAGAAATTTGCTCTTGTCTTCATTTCCACCTATAGCTCATCAGTTCATGTATCCAATTCTAGAAATCAAAGGTTTTAATTCCCAGTCCCCAACTGTTTCTGTAAAACTATTTTCTGAAAGCCTTGATGATGGAAAGAAATATAAAGAACAGTTGATATAAGAGGGTTTTCAAATGCTTTTGAGACACATAAAAAAACTAATAAGATTTCAAAACAGAAAGCAAATATAATGAGACTTAAGTAGCCAATTCTTTGAGTTCCCTGTTCCCTGTTCTTTGCCTGGAAAACAAGAAAGAAATGTTAAGTACATAAAACACATAGCTCTCTTTTAATCAAAAGCGGCAAAGAAAAGCTTTTGAAGTGTCTTTATTCCCTGTTCTCTTCTCTTTTGCTCTTTTTGCCTCTCTTGTATGTGCTCTCTTATGTCATAAAAAAAAAAAAAGAGCTCTGGTCCCTTCATCTTTTATGCTATTTCACCTTGACTTCAAGTTACAATGAACTAATTTGATCATTCCTGTTTAACATTAAAACCCTAGTGTTATTGTTACTAGGTGGATTTTTTACAGAACACATTCTTCTCTCTGTACTTCGAGGTGTCTGCTCTTACCAACCACCGTGTGCCCACCATGACAGCCATGAACTGGGGGCATCATGTTGTCTCACCATTCTTCCCTGGGGAGGTCAGTGCCCAGAACTGTGGTTAATGGCAAACCAAGATAAATCCCATCATCATGCTTTGCTTCTGTTTCCCCTTCTGCCCTTTCATTTCTTTACGCTGCAGCCCCACTGTAGTAGGAAGCATCTTGTGTGGTTTGAGTTTTGCCTGGCCTGGTGGGCTCTGAGCTCAGCTGGGCTCGTGGACCTCTAACTGACTAGATGTTCCTAGCTCCTTAAATCCTTTTTTATCCTCTTGAAAGCTGAGGGAGATAAAAAGGGAAAAGAACTGGCTGAAATTTGAGCTTTGGCTTTTCTTCCCTCCTCCCTGCTGGATAGATATCCCCCTTGGACAGAAGCAGGCTCTGAGTAATGAGGACCATAGTTCAGATGATTTGTTAATGTCTTGCAATGACAAGTTTGACTTATATCTCAAGTTCCTCTTGTTCTCTCACTTACCCAGCTGCTCTATGCCTGCAGACTAGCATGGCCTCCTAAGCTTGTCTTGCAGCACCAAAACCAGCCCATGCAAGATAAGGTCTTCAACACTTGCCTGACTCAGATCACTGGACAAAGGCATGCCAGCCTGCCAGGCTCATTTGTTATTTTGGAAATGACCTGCCACGGTTTCTGCACCACTAATTGGCCATGATCTATTTTCTGTTATATATATTCATCTCCTATTTCTGCTGCCTGGTCCAAGAGATGCCAAGTGCATCATTTAGTGCACAGTACTTCGAGCTTGGACTTACTGGGTAGGATATTAGACAGAGATTTTGATTAGATTTGACATCAGGATCTCTTTGTGATAATCTCTGCAATTGTTCTCTCCAAACCATCTTACTGCCTACAGTGACGACACTTCTGGAGTGAAATGCAGGAAGAAAATATGCAACTCAAGGCAAAAGAGTTCCATCAGAGATGGCTTTAGCCCAAGGACTTATGCAAAACAGGTTTGTAATGTTTCAGATTTGTATTGTTTCTTTCTTTTTCAAGGAGGAAAAAGGCAACAGTTGATACTGCCATGAAGCTGCAAGCCTGAAAGATGCAGGAATGGAAACTTCAATGTCTTTAACAATGCTAATTCATGCCTGTGGACCTGTGAACCATTTTTGCAATCAAAAGCTTATGAAATGCATTGCAGTGGGCTGAATAGTGTAAGTCCAACATAAGAAATCCCTCCTAAAATCAATGAGATGTTTTTCTTATCAGGTTTGCAGGATTTGGTACTGCTTGAAGAACTACTGTTCTTCACCTCTAAAGACCCTCATTGATGGGTTCCTCTTCTTTATCTGCTTCTCTGGAAGATCACTGTTCTGGTTGGATGATGGTATGCTGTGTGTATGATTGAGAGCTGTAAAGTAAGAGCCCGTGCATGTGCCTGAGCTTGGCTCACACAGCACACGGCTCTACCATCATCCCCTTGCCCAGACCTGCCACTTCATGATCCACTTCTGGTGATAATACAGGCTTCCCAGACAGAAACTGCTGCCCCTAATTTTCAAGGAAATTCTGGGACTGACTTGAAGTTTACTCTCAGATAAAAGTAGAAATGCTCAAACATTTTGTTCTGTACTTGCTTCACCTGTCTAATCACAAAGAAATTAGTACTGTGGTAGCTGTATGGCCCTCTCAGAAGCCAAAATCCTTATTAACTCACTCTATTGCTAAAATTAAGATAGCAAAACTAACAAATAACCTGTTATCTCCTCCAGGTCCATCATGTCTCCAGTTTAGCAAGAAAAAGCAAAGGAACAAGAGAGTAGAGGATAACTCCAATGGGGAAAGCAACTAGCCCTTGCATGAGTGGCTTTTAGGCCTGAGCATATGCATTAGACATATTAATTTCCTCAAACTGTATATTTTCATGGCTCTTTCCTCTATGGCTTACATGTATGTGTTAGAATCAGTTCTGTCTTATCATCATTGCCATGGTTACCTTATCATTATTGTATGTATGTGTTGCTGTATTGCTATTGCAGATGTCTTACCAAAGTTCCCTAAAGCTAAATGATCCCAGAACTTACTCTGCACACATCCCAAACTGCTAAGCATTTGTATCTTTTATGATCTGTTTCACAGCTAAAACAAAGTTGGCTTGAACATCTCTGCTGAAATAAAGCAGAGAACAAATTACTCCATACATCATCTTTACCATAAACCAATTCCTTACATCAAATGCAAAAAACCCCTTCTACTTAACTGGACTTCTCAGCAGCCTGATTTGCCTTTACTTCCATTACTACATTGCCAAAAATCACAGGATTGTTGATGTCTGCAGCAGGGAAGACATGTCAGTCTCTGAAATGAGGCTGTCATGATATAGCAAACACAGAGGTCATTATAGCAGGGTAGGGCACATCTCAAAGGCCAGGACAGAGAAAAGTTTGTGTTTGGGATGAAAAAATCTTTGCTGGGAGCATGATGCTACAGGGCTACAAAAATTGTCAGAGAGATGGAACACCTCTCCTATGATGATAGACTGAGAGAGCTGGAGTTGTTCAGCCCAGAGAAGACTCTGGGTAGACCTTGTTGTGGCTTTTAAATGCTTAAAAGGAGCTTATAGGAAAGATGGCAAAAGACTTTTTAGTAGGACCTATAGCAATAGGACAAGGAGTAATGTTTTTAAACTAAAAGAGGGTAGATTCAGACTAGATATAGGAAAGAAATATTTTATGATGAGGGCAGCGAAACACTGAAACGGGTTGCCCAGAGAGGTTGTAGATGCCCCATCCCTGGAAACGCTTAAGGATAGGTTGGATAGGTCTCTGAGCAACCTGATCTAGTGGAAGATGTCCCTTCTTATTGCAGGAGGGGTTGGACTAGATGACCTCTGAAGATCCCTTCTGACTCAAACCCTTCTATGATTCTATGCAGTCTTTCAGAATAGAATTGGGGAAACCCAGATGTTAACATCTGGTTTTAATCCAAACTCTGTATTAACTTCCAATGGACAAATGAGTGCAGAACTCTCATCCTAAAGAGTAACTCAGCTCAGCACTAACAACCAGATTTTTCATGCTATTTATCCTTATTATAACAACTACTCCTTACTACATACACAAGCAGAGGCTTTGAATATGTTGTGATAATGAATGTCATTATGACGTTAGAGTACAATGGTGTGAAGAAAGTGATTCATCACTGGTAAGAGACAAACAAACAAATTTATTGGATGATACATTGCCTAGATGCACAATTCTAAGTTTATAAGCAAGAGGTTATGTATTGTTCCACAGCTGTAGTCTAGTATTACCAAACTAGAGAATACCAAATACATTTAAGATTTTTGTAATAATTCCCATGATAAGAGGAATGAAATCTTAAACAAATAGAAGTAAATAGCAGAACCTCTAAGTGGAAAGTAGTAATTGTAGCAGTGAAACTTTTCTGTTTAAGTTAAGGATGACTCACAATTTGTCAGTAAGTGCAGCTAACTGACCGTCTTTTTAAGTGGAAGTGGAAACTGGGACATAAGGTCATCATGATACAGCAAATACAGAGATCATCATACTTTTTAACTAGAGACAAATAAGGCAACACTTGTCTTGTCACATGTTCAAATTACACATCACTACCCCAGACTGACAGTGATCCCATCACTCCACTATACCTGCAGTTATGGGCCATGGAAAGAACTACTATTATGTGGTAAAATTTTCATAACTCTTCATAGATATTGCTCTATCCTCTGCTAGCACCCAGGAGGTTTTGTCTGAATGTTCGTTGCTTTGAGATGCCTCAAAGATGCCTGGTTTGCTGGGAAGGCCCAGCTGAATGATTGCTAACCTGGGGACATCTTGACGTTGGAAGCAGGTTTTCATTTCAGGGAGATGCAGAGACAAAAGGGCTCGGGCTGCCAGCTGGGCTCTCCTGGGCAAGTTGGGGCATCTCTTGGGATTGAGTGTGTGTGAATAGATTTTTCCTAACAGAAACAACCTTCTGGCTCTAAAAAATTTAGATTCTTGGTGTCAGGTATTTGTCTTTTTTTTCACCATCCATCTGGGAAATGCAGATTGTGTTCATTACGCCAAACAACTTTCAAGGGTCCGTGCTGCCTGGAAAACTGCACTGAAGTTCAAGATAGGTTGTCCTGTCCCTACAGCAGAAACTGGATTCCCCAGCTGGTGACATGCTTTCCTTTCTTCAGGCTTTACTGCAGTGAGTCCAGAAAAAGGACAAGAAGATGATTCTCAGACTCACTCCAGTATGTCAATGTATCTTGTGTACTGGAGACAGCAGACCTGGACCCAGAACTCCAGATATCTTACCAGGGCTGAGAAGAGAGGAAGAATCAGCTCCCTCAATATGCTGGCAATGCTCTTCGTAATGCACCCCAGGATACTGTTGGGGTTTTTTGCCACAAGGGCACATTGCTGCCTCATGCTCAGCTCAGTGTCTACCAGGACCTCCAGGTCCTTCTCAGCAAAGCTTCTTTCCAGTTGATCAGCTCCTCTCGTATACTGGTGCCTGGGATTGTTCATCCTCAGGGGCAGGACTTCACTTTTCCACTTGTTGAAATTCATATGCTTCCTGTTAGCCCATTTTTCTAGCCTCTGCAGGTCCCTCGGAATGTTACCACACCTCTAGGATGTATCGTCCACTCTCCCTAATTTCATATTGTCTGTGAAATTACTGAGGGTGCACTGCTTCCCATCATCCAGGGTTCTAATGAAGATGTTAACCAGTACTGGCCCCAGTACAGACCCGTGGGGTGCACTGCTAGTCAATTCCCTACATTTGACCCCATTGTTCAGACAGTTTTCAATCCACCTCATCAGCTTGACAGTGTTTGTTAATTCCTGCTAGTCCTAAGGAGTTACCTAATGGAGCCTGTGAGATGGGACTACTGTGCAGGTCCCTCTCCTTTTCCGGCTGAGTCCAGGCATTCATGAGATAGACTGGTGACTAACATGCAGCCTGTCCTGATTGTTTAGGAAAGTACAGTTTGTAACCGGAATTGAAGAGGTCTGGTGAATCCCACAACATAATAACTGAGTTAAATGTAAATTATTTCATCATTTGTGAAATTTCAAAGATGCATGTGCTCTTATAAACAAATTGAAATAAAAAAACCCCTGGTTTTCCTTGGGTGCTATTGGGTTTTTCCAATGCCTGCTGCTTTGCACCGTCTGTGTACAGGGTTGAGTGTGATTATCCAGACCTTGCACATGTGAGGAAGCTTTATGAGCTCTGAGATCAGCACCAGATGGTGGCTGGGTGCTCTCCTTTTCTCAACATCCATAGGATGCCCAGCTAGCAGGAAGTGGATGCAGCCCCCAGCAATACAAGACAGGAGAGAAGAAGCAGGCTGTTCAGCAGGGCTGGTGGCAGAGTTGGCCCTGACCCTCAGGTATGGTCTAGCAGAGAGGCATGAAGATCCTACACAATCAGACTCTTTAAAGTCTATAGAAAAATGTCAACTGCCCCATGCCGGAAAGTCACTCAAGGGGCCTTGCTTATTATGGTTATTATTACGTTTGTTATGGTAAGATGCTATAGCATAGTTTTGTATGATATGAGTTCAGTTGTTAAAAATTACCTTAAAATGCAAAATGCTGAGCCTGGTTCTCATCTCTCCACCTTCTCCAATCAAGAACATCAAGGAAACATGTGAGGCCATCTCTGAATGGCAACGTGCAGCACCAGTAACAATGATGTGGAAATTAGCCTGAGGTTCACAAACATTTGAATGCATTGGTGCTTTTGCCTTTGAACTTGTTTTTTAATCACCTTCAGCTTCATAAAATTATTCGTGGTACTTATTTAGATTATCTCCACTTGGTCATTCCAGGAGTATGTATTCCATAGAAAGGAAGGGATGGAAATTTACCTGAAATGCTACATAGAATCTAGAATCATGGTTGTCCATTTGGGAAAAAAAAAACATTGCTCATCTCTATTAAAAGATATGTAGAGAAAAATAATTTTTCTGAGTCAGGTTTCATTTTAAAGAACAACTTTTTGTGTGGAAATAGATTTTGAATTAGCCAAGGTTGATGCTTCATGGTGCCACTGTGCCTGTACCGCTGAGTCCTGCAGACACACTCAGGTTTAACCCATGGCTGCAGCTCCTCAAGATGGCCAGCAGTGGCAGCAGCTCAGCATGGCATGTTGGAACTGTGGTCTGTGCAGATCTTACTTCCTCATTAAAAATTAAGGTAGCTCTATTTTGCTGCACCTTAAATAAATCAGTGACCCTGAATTTTCTGGCATATCCCCAGATGTGGTCTTCTGTGGGAAAAACTTTGGGTCCTTCTTCTGTTCATTAAAAATAAAAGAGAAAAAATGGTATCACTGAGGATAATAGCATTTGTCAGCTCCCGTTGTAGGTTGCTTAGCTCAGCTGAATAATGTCTGCCAAATGGTAAACTTGAAAGATTCTTTTTCCCTCATCTCCTTTAAAAATCCTGTGTCACTTAAAAATCACAGGTAGAAAACGATCATCTTGGCTCTCCATGTTGGCCCCTTACCTTTACAGAATACCGTAGTATATTATTTTGACTGTTGCCTTTTCTAACATGGCCATACATATCCAGAGCTTTTGATTTGGACAAATGGTGGCCTTACTACACTATTACTTAATTATCCTTATTAACTTATTCTTGAATTTCCAGGTTTTGCTTTCACTTTTCTTACTTCCAGCAAAAGTTGTTCCTAAAACTGTAGATGAAACACAGGAGCTTCTGACAAAAGAAGCATAATAGCCAGGAGGAGGGGGGAATGCATAGGGCAACTTCTGCCCTGCTTGGTTAAGCAGAACTTCCACTGACATCCTGAAACAGATGAGGTCCTGATAAAAACAGTCATGATTGACTGTTGTGCTATCTGGCTGCATTCTAGACTTTTAAATGAATTTGAAAACTGCCAGGCATCTAATCTTTTCCAAAGGAACAGCTAAGAGAGAAAAGAATTATGCCATGCAGTTTTGAGGTTAACAGAGTACAGTAAATGAAATCCTGATCAAGCATAGTGTCAGTGTAGGAGACATCTATATTACCCACTGTTGCCTACCCAAAAGCCTTAGCTAGTACTTTACATTCCTGAGGGCGTTATGGAAGATGGGTGGGATGGACTGGTCTGTGAAACATCTGTTTCTGCCTGGTAGCAACAGGAGTCCCGAAGAACTAGGTTAGAACTGGCACTTTTCAGGGTCAAAATCTCGGAGAAATTAATCCCAGCACTAATTTAATTTATGATAAAAAAAAAACAAAGGACCATGATTGTTTGCTACTGATGGAAACATCCAGGTTTTTGAGAAGCTCCTAAATCACTGCTTGAGATCAGTAATATTTTGTGGCAATCATTTTCAGGAGCTGAACATATAGGTGCAAAACAGGAGAGTCCTGTACCAGCTTGATCCAAGTCTCCTCCTACACCCACATTATCCTTCAGCTGTGAGTGAGGCCAAACTTGGTGAATTCCACAGTGCTTCGGCTGCTCCACAGCTGTATTTTAGCCACCTCCCAGCTTGCTTCACTCCCTCTGTATAAGGTACTGAGTTTCTGACGCCATGTGCCAAGTCTCCTTTTCTTCATATTGAGTCAAGGTGGGGGGGAGGGGGCAGGATGCAAACAAACAGTCAGGGTCAGATACTTCTTCCTTTATCCTCTGAAGGCCTAATCCAGAGTTGATTGACATCAGTGGAGAAGTTCAGGGCTAACTTCATCAGACCTTGATTCAAGAGTTATCCTGCTGAAGGACAGGGGAACAGTACATTTGCGTGGGATGCATATCTGTGACACCAAAAGAATAAGTCCCATTATCTGTCATCTTGGACTCCAAGGAGATGGTTTCTTTTCCAATAGAATATTAAATTCTTTGAGTAAAAAAAATCCTGCCACCAGATCTTTGCATCTAAAAGTATTTGCGAAAGGATTCATTTTAAAACCAGAGAGAACTATTATTCTCTGACCTCTTATTTTGAGGGGAGTGCACAAGGTAGATTACAGTCTTGTTATTGCTTGATCAAACAGTGCATTTGAATGTCTGTTGGGAAAAAGGTTTTCCAAAATACAGAAAAGTATCTTTTCATGACACAGTGTCAGACCTTTGATGAATTACAGTATGTCACCAAACTGTGATTCCTCTTGCTCAGACCATGAAATGTGTTTGCATACACATTTCCTCATAATATAGCTGTATGGAAAAGAAAAAACAAACCCATCACCAAAATGAAACAAAACAAGCAAAGAATAAACATTTGTACTCTCTGTGAGAGCAATTAAGATCACATTAATCTAGTGTAATTCCATTCACATTTCCATAAATAAAAGGTAATTTATCTTTTGAATAAAAGTGGTTTGTGCTCATGAAAACAAAACATGCGTCTCAGAAGACTAGATAGACAGAGAAGATAAAAGGTACAGGATGGAGTGAAAGCTGCCCATGAGAAGTAGAGAGCACCCCTGTGTGTGACATCCTCTTCAGCAGATTCACAAAGACTTTCTGGCCACGGTCAGCCAAGCTCCAGTGGGATCTGCCTCACTCAACTGAGAGGTCTGCACATCAGCAAAAGTTAGGTGAACACTGGAGCTGAGCATCCGAGGGTCTCAGTATGAAGAGCAGAAAAGAATCAGCCACTCTAGAGGCTGATTCATGCATCCTAAGTTTAAAAGAGCTGAAAGAATCACAGCCAACATTATCTGCTTTTCCCCACTAATCATTGCACAAAATCTGTGATATGGAAAGGAGATGTTTCCCCACTTCAAAGCCAGTTGGTTGAGGCATCCCAGCAGCTTTAAGCTATATCCTCAGCCATGGAGAGCCTAAGAGCTTAAGTCAGGTTTCCAAGGATTTTGTATATGAATAAGAGGTAATTTGGAGCTAAAACATGATTAAGAGCCCTAGGTGGGTGTGCAGTGTGGCGATAACTTCAGACAGACTTTATTACCTTACTACTTGGATATCTCCTTGATTAATTCCTGCAGCTTCTGCACTTGTATTTGCTGCAGATGATCTGCCCCACTATTTCTTTTATAGATATTTCTCTGAAGTATGATTTTTTATTTAGGCACCAGGAACACCAGAAGCATTTTCCTTAGCAAAATTTGAGACTGATTTGTTCAGCCGCAATACTGCCCAAAGAGGTTGCCTGTCTTGTAGCCTTTGCCCCAGGCCACGCAGCGGTTTGCTCCCCTTCTGTTTCCAGGCTCTAGCTTCTTGAAGGATTTCTTGTCGTCTTTCTACCTCTGACTCACTGCCCCAGAGTATGCCCTCAAATATTCGCTTTTAAACCTTCACACTATGTGCCCTGATCGTCGCATGAGCCCAAAATTTTGGTCAGCTACTGTTGAGTAAAGGGGCATGTAATCAACACGTCTTTCAGCCCTCATGAAAAGTTGTTGCTCTTTCCAGTTGTTTCAGCAAGGGTTTGGGGTTAGACAGGCTCCCTAGGAACCACTCAAACTTCCTCATAACAGTAAAATACCAAATCCTTTCCTGAGCTTTACAGACTTCCTGGTGTCAGCAACGTTTCAGCATGTGTAATGAACCACGCTAGCATATAGTATTAATTTTGCAGCCCTTTTACCTCTTCCATCTAACCCTTCCTTTGTTTGCCATGCTTACCTGTCCTATGATGCTTAAACACAGGAAGAAATCTCCTTAGGTCAGGGACCTGTCAATCAGTTAATGTCTCCAAAGTGCAACACACTTTTAACAGGATTGTATTAATAATGAATCACATTTGCTTTTCAGATGTGCAAACACTTATTTGAGTTTTCCTTTCTGCATGTCAGAGAGGGTAGGGACTCACTACATCCAAAGGGCAAAAAGCCACTACTATGATGGCAATGTCAGCTGCTGTAGCCCAGCTGTGACAGGAAGAACAGAATCAACCTCCCGTTTAGTAGCAGCAACATTTTGTCATAGCAGCCCCTCCACAGCTGCAGGCAAAGCAAGGCATTAAAATGGACACCGAGCCAACATGTCCAGTTTTACTGCAGTGGTACTTAGATACCCAAGTTGCACTACATCAAAGGGAAGACAGTTATCAGCATGGATGTTTTTCCCGAGGTAAGACAACCCCTATTCCTCTCCCTTTCCTTTCAGAATTTAAAGAACTCAGGCAAGAGCTCACTTCAAAGACAGGTGGGTGAGGAAACAGAGGGAATATTGACTTTTAAAGTAGCTTCTTGCCTCTATAGGATTAAGGAAGTGGGGTAGGTAGGTGGTCACCTTGTCTTCCTCATAATTTTCCTTTTCTCCTGAGCACTGACTACTTTTCATTTTATCTCCTTAGAGGAGATTGGCATGGCAACACAGGGGGAAGGAAGAAAGCAAGAAAAATCAGCCCCATGGGCCTTCCTGCAATATGGTCTGAGGCACCCTTGCCCTTCCTCTTTATCACCATGCCCCAGCGCAGCTCCAGCTTCAATGCAAGTGATGGACAGGTGGTTAAGGCATAGTCAGACCAGGGTAGTGTCCCCAGGGAACAGGGCTGAGAGGGTTCATAGGGTTGCATAGCTGAACATGGTTACATCTGGGAAATGTACATGTTCCCCCTGAGTCAGATGGCAGCAATAGTTTTCCATTGACATTGTTAAGAACCACAACAGACTCCTGCTCTGTTCACTGTATTTGTTGGCACTTCCATTTCAGTTGCATTCTTAGATGACCTTGTCTATTCACTTTTGGGACCCAGCCAGCACCTCTCTTGGCAGTTACGCATTCTCCATAACACATACTGCTTTTATTTTAGTTCAAGTGATTTGTATTTCATTATAAATCCATTACTTTTTTGTTAAGCAGCTGTTTTTTCTCT